TGATTAAAGAGTTTTAACGGTTGCTAATTTGTGTCTCTGGAAATGGTTCTGGGTTGCCCCTTATTCACCTTTTTTTTTTAAAAAAAAGGCTTTTTTTTACCCCTTTCCTTTGAGGAAACTGTCTTTGAAACACCCTAGTACGCTTAGACACACGCACACGCACACACACACATAGAAGGGATGCGTCGAGTACTCTTCTTTTCTGCGGGGGCACTATTCTCTTTGTCTTGTTTTGCTTTTGCTGATGGTTTTATCACTGCGAAGCGGATTGGAGTTCCGTACAACTTTTTGATGTGGCTACCCGCAATTATGATCATTAGTGGCATGCTCCTTCTCAGGATCACGGACGCAAAGGCAGTTATTGACGCGGACGCTTCCTTTGAGGAAATCGGGGTGCCCCGCGAAAAAGTGCTTTTTTTCCTTGGCGCACTGTTGACATTTGGTGGTTTCGCTGTTTCTCTTTGGAAGGCGATCGACCCATATTCCAACGCGAGCGTAGCATGGCCCGGCGTTTTTCTGGTAGCCCAGAGTGTCCTTTTAGCCCTTTGCTCTGGATTCCTCTTTTTTGTCCGGTTACAAACAGAGGAGGAATGGGTTTGAAAGGATCTTCTGTGCTTTAAATATGTGTTGTTCTCACGGTGGAGCATCTTACGTACTATATTTCTTTCTCTTTGCAAGTTTTGTAAAAACGCTCTCGTATTATTGTTTTTTTGTTATTTCCGTTATATTTATTTATTTATTTATTTATTTATATTTATATTTATTTTTTAAAGCTCCGTTGCTTTTTTTTCCCTTCCCCCGTTTCTTTCTGTCTGCTGTCTATGTATATAAAAGTTAAAATGGCAGCTGATCCCTCCCAGTTAAATGGGGAACGTCTTAAGGAACTCCGTGGAGCTGTTCACACATTCCTACAAGAGTCAAGCGTTTATTCTAAGATTCGTGATATAGTAGACTCTTATGTCTCTGAAAATCCCGGGGATGCCTTAAATCCAACCTCTTCTGCTGATGTAATGAAGATCATTCGAGAAAAAGGACTTGTTCAGGATCTACTAGATCGGTTACATGGTGAGAAACATCTGAGCCTCGCGCAGACTCTAAATGCAGCTCATGCATGGAAACTTCTTCCGGGTCAATACTATCTACATCTTCGACTGGCTGGTGGGAAAGCATTTGTTGATAACTTGGACCTCTCCCCAAGTTTCGCCAAAGACTATTTGATGTATGTGGCAGTACAGTTTGGATCACAACGATATCGATCGACTTCGGAGAAAGCTGCAGTGGATCCTCCTTTTAGAGATGAGTTTCTTATAGATCTTGATTACAAATCTTTTGGTTCATGTGCCGCCGATTTGATACAGATTTCAACTCCGCTTCATATAGCTGTTTTTGGGGAGGAACGACTTTTAACGTGTGCCAAGATGCTTGGCGAAAATCTTGTTGACTGGAGAAGAGTTTTGCGCACAGGCTACCTTGGTTTAACTGTTGAACTCTGTGGGGACAACCCAGGTATTCCTGCTGGTATATTAGAGTTGCAGCTAGAGCTGTTGCCTAATAAGGCCCCTCGGTTCTCAGAAGAAGATGTTGCATCTAGAATAGATTTACAAAGATCTGCCATTACTTCAGCTGACCGTGAGTTTCTTTTATACGCGCGTCGCTGGTGGATGGAGTTTCAAGAGATTCGACCTATTCATAAACAACGAAAGGTAAAGGTGTTTGCCTCTACTTCTAACGGGAGGATGGTTCCAACAACTCACTTTGTCTCTGTCATTCGTGCAGAGAATGGAATTGACACCCCTGCTGAAGCAGCAAGGTTTGTTTCTCTTATCGCCGTGACAGATGAGGAACACCTAACTCAAGAAGTGCTTCTTGGTGGGTTAGGTAATAACAGTTCAAGAAATTGTTGGCTTTCAATGTTTACATTCCTATCTCAAAGAAGAGGAGAGCCTTGTAATCATGCGGCACTTCTCTGTTCGTTATTACTTGGCTTTGGCTTGGATGCTTACTGCGCTGTTGGAACAAATAAAAAGGGCACAACAATAATGTTTGTTGTGTCTCGTAAGCGTCTCAATGCTGGTGTTTTTGAAGTGTTGCTGTGGGAACCAACATCGGGAAATCGCTTTACATTGACAGATGCGCATCAAGTGGAAACTCTAGGTTCGGTGTTCAATCATCGATCTTTTTATGCAAATATTCAACCCTCAGATATTGTTACCACGATTTCTTTTGATTTTGACAATGAAGAGTTGTGGAAACCGTTAACTCCTTTAAAGCTTCGTATGGTACCTAAATACCCCAATCCTTCGCTTCTATGGATTCCAATCGACACAAAATCTCTGGAAGAGGAACTTGTAACTTCATTGATAACAGAGATTACGGAATATCGTGATATTCGGGGGGTTATTACACTTTTTGATGAGGCGCTTGCCTATGTTCTCCGGCAAGTTCTTTGCGCCTATGAGGGTCATCGACGCAATGGTGCCCCAGAGGATTTGTCGCTTTTTGAAAATTGTGTAAAGGGTGTTATTGGTGAGGGAAAAACCTTTAAAGGTGTCCCAGTGAATGTAACGCATTTGAACAGCCGTAAGATACTTGCAGCTTTTGAAAGTAGTGCTTCTGGAAAGGAGATTCTAGAGTTAACAGCCGATAATCTTAACTTGGCTGTTCAGGTGAAAATATTTTCCTTTCCTGAAGCCGTGCTCTCTGTTTGGGTGATACTGGCCGCAGCTTATGCGTCCTCCCCTGCTTGAGCAGGCGATTCTGAATTGTGTGGAAACGAATAGAGTAAAATCTCACCACTTGGCATATGTAGGGTCTGTTTTTGCTTTGCTGTGGATACAACCAGATGGTTGTGTTGTGTTCCTGGCGCCAGTAGCCACGGAGGGAATAGAAACCGGAAGACCAACACAAAAAAGTGAAAGAAGAAGAATAAAAAAAAAACAATAGTGAGACAAAGACGTTTGATATACGCAACAGACCTTTCCTTCTTGTTTTGATTTTTAATGCTCCTTTTCTTTCTCTGGGTGTGATTTTTTTTTTCTTGTTTTCTTTTCACTGCAATTATCATAGTTCTCAACCTTCCAATTCTCAGTCATACGCACACACACAAAGGCAAAAAAGTAAAAAAAAACAGCATCAAAAAAAACAGGAGTCACAAGGCCGGGGTGAGTGAGTATTGAGAGATGAGAGCTCTAAGGTACGTCAGAAGAGTCTATTCCACTTCGAAGTGGCCGTGGAGTCGTCTGTCCATTGGTTGCGCTAGTCACTTCGTCTCTAGCACGCCTATACGCTTTGTGGGACATCCTACCCCATCCTCACATACCTATGATAATTCAGATTGCTGGGATCCGTTTGCAGCGGCTTCTGTTTTGCAGAAAGACTACGCATCTGCCCTTAAAGGCACTGAATCAGTCAAAGTCCAGCACGTCTCCCCGACGGAACTCTCGGAGGCAGCCCCTAACGTAGTTGCATCGGACGTTTCTGTCATCGATGCAAGTGGAACTAAAGTTCACGTCACACCTATTCAGTATTTCTCCGAAATTACGAATACGCCGGATTGGTTAAGCAAGGGGATTGATGAGATGGGTTATCCAAAGGTAACCCCCATTCAAGCATACACGATTCCAATCCTAGAGAAAAAACATGATCTTATTGGCTTGGCCCCAACTGGATCTGGTAAAACGGTGGCCTTTGCAGTCCCGGCATTGAAGCACTTTAAGCCTAGTCCAGATGGGTTACCAACGATAATCGTTCTCGCCCCGACTAGGGAGCTTGTGCAGCAAACGGCAAAGGTATTTTCTCAGTTGAGCTCTGGGGTTATTCGAGTGTGTGAGGCTTATGGGGGAGCCCCACGAGAAGTACAAGCCCGACGGTTACACAAAGGATGCGATGTGCTTGTAGCGTGCCCGGGGCGCCTAAAGGACTTTTTGCAGAATGAAGATGTAACACTTGCTCATATGTCTTTCTTGGTTTTTGATGAGGCAGACCGTCTTCTTGACATGGGATTCAAGATTCAGCTTGATGAGATACTGAGTTACGCCGATCCCTCACGTCCTACCCAGACAATGATGTGGTCGGCTACGTGGCCAAAGGGAGTTGAGGAGTTGGCACGTGAATACCTTTCACAGGAGCGATACACCATCCGAGCAGGTACAGCTGGCTTGGGTTTGCAGGTAAATAACAACATTAGACAGCACGTTTTATTTGCAGATCACCCCCAGGAGCGGATGGAGGCTCTCGTTTCACTTATTCAAAATGGAACCATTGACGAAAATACGGCAAAGATGATGATTTTTGTGGAACGGCAAACCGACACAGAAAATGCGGCGCATCTGCTTGCAAAAATGCTAGGCATACACGTTCGAAACGTTAGCATACTTCACGGTGGGATGCCGCAACGACAACGCGACTTCGTCATGAGTAGGTTCAAGCATAATCAAACCCGTATACTTGTGGCGACAGACGTTGCTTCGCGTGGGATCGATTTCCCTGACGTCACTTGTGTCGTTAACTTCATTGCGCCCAAGGGCATTGACAGCTATTGCCATCGAATAGGGCGTACAGGAAGGGCTGGTCGCACGGGAGACTCTTTCACATTTATTGGTCACGCCGATGGCTCTTTAGCGAGAGATCTTGTGGGATACTTGAATAAGTGTGGAATGGAGGTCCCGCAAAGACTTTTAGACCTTGCTGATAAGCACACCGAATATGAAGAGAGTCGTAGTTTTAAGCGGTCGTGGAAAGGAAGGTCTGGACGAGGCTACAATCGCCCGAAGCGGGAGGGCCGCGCGATGTCTCAAGGTACTGGCTGGTAATCAGTAAGGAGTAAGTAATATATTGAGGCGAAGAAAGAGATTTTGTGTCTGTCTTTGTCTGTGCTTTTCTTCCTTATTTATGCTGCTCTCTGTTTATGCGCTTTCGTTACAAATTTATCACAGCAGTGGAGCGCAGGTAATGTGCCTTTGGGTTTTATTTGGGGAAGCGCTCTGTTTTTGTTTTTTTTTGAGCCTGCGGCTAACACTGCTAACGTATTTGCTACTCTGCTTCATGACATTAGGCTGCCCTGCATGTGTGTGTGTGCCTCCGTGGACGGACTCAATCAGTAGCGCGAAGAGGAAAAAAAAAAGCGGAAAAAAAGGAAGTAAAAAGAAAAGAAGGTCATTTAGACTTATTCAGAAACATTTCATGACAGTTGACAAACCAAGCATGCTTAGCATGAAATAGGAAGTGCAAAAACTTTCATGCCTGTTTCTGGTGTTCTTTCTTAATATGCGTCTCACTCGCTTTATCTTTATGTTTTTTTTTTACCCCTCTCTGCGTGTCTCTTTGTCTATTTGTTAACGACTGTTTTCCCTGGGAGGGGTTGCCTTCTTGGGTTACCGTGGTGGGAAGGAAGGAGACTTGAGCGTCCGTCTCATGGCGAAGATTATCAGTGAATTGGAGTTGGAGAAAGCTGTGGATGCATTGACGCGTGGGAATTTGGTGGCCTTCCCAACGGAGACGGTGTACGGTTTGGGTGGCAATGCCCTTAATGAAGAAGCAGTAAAGAAGATTTTTGCGGCGAAGGGGCGCCCGTTGACCGATCCCTTGATTTGCCACGTTTCAGATGTGGAGAAGGCGGTGGCGATGTGGGACGTGCGCGCGGATCCAGCGGCGGTGAAATTGGCCAGGGCTTTGGGAACGGCACTTTGGCCGGGGCCTTTAACCATTGTGCTGAAGGCGGACCCTTCCTTGCCGCATTCGGTAACGGGAGGATCTGGATTTGTAGGCGCGCGAATTCCACGCCACCCCGTAGCCCTAAAGCTGCTGCAGCTCGTGGATTTTCCTCTGGCGGGTCCCAGCGCGAACACATTTGGTCACGTTAGCCCCACAACAGCGGCGCATGTGCTCGAGGACCTGGGCCCGAAGGATCCCTCGCTGTTGGTTATTGACGGTGGACAGTGTGACATTGGCATTGAGTCCACCGTGGTAAAGGTGAACAGTGTGGAGAATGTTGAAATTCTTCGCCGAGGCGGGGTTTCACTCACGGATGTGCAACGCGCGCTTGAAGGTAAGTTTCACCCGCTCCTTACGATTCGCGACACACGCTCGCGCCACGGCGCTCCTGAAAAGGCGATGGATGGGCCGGGTCAGCTACTCACGCACTACTCACCCAACGTGCCGTCAAGGCTGCTAACGCCGAGTAGTTTTGCTGCCAATGCGCCTGCGCAACCGGCGGGGGTGGTGGTGGAGTTTTCCTCATCTGCTGCTGGAGCCGCATTGACGGAGGTTGCGCTACGGCAGACGGTAGTCATTGACTTTGGGGGCCACCTCCAGCCCCTTCAGGCGGGGTGCCTGGCGTATCGCGACCTCAGCGCGAAGGCGCAGGTGCGAGAGGCATGTTTCGCCGTGTTTGATGCGCTGCGGTGGACGGAGACTATTCCTGGGGCGAAGCTGGTGCTTTTCCCACTCGTATCCGAGTGGCCGCATGCCGCGGTGGACGCGGAGCTCCTCGACGCCGTGGAGGACCGCCTGTTCCGCGCCGCCTCTGGTCAGGTCGCACACATCCGCACGCAGTGAAACACGGCGCTGAAGGCTCACACCCACACACTCACACGCGCCTGCGGGTTTTGATTGAATATTTGAAGTTGTTTACTGCACTTTTTTTTGTGTGTGTTTGTTGAAGTACATATCTCTACACCTGTAGTGCGAAGGTGGAGAAAAAGCGCGACGTGGCTCGTACGCGCGTGCGCGGTCTGGAGTTGGGGGCCCCCCTCTCCCGCTGAGCCGAAAACTGAGCAGTTGAAGCGAGAAAAAGCAAGCATTGCCGCAAACCAAGAACGAAAAAACAAACAAAACAAAAAGCGAAACTGCGACTATAATAAACTTAGGGCAATCGTCACCAGTTTTTATTTGAGCTTGCTCCCCCTCTTTCTCTCTCTCTGTGTGTGTGTGCGTGGTTGTTTCAGAACTCCGTCCTACTCCCTTCTTTCGGGCTTGTTCCCCGGTAGTAGCCCTGTTTGCCTTTTTGTTTTTTTTTTGTTTTTTGTTTTTCTGACATCACATATAAACACACACCCATATATATATATTTATGGGTGTGTGTGTGTGTGTAAGCCTCTGTGTGTACACGCTGTAGTTGTCGTTTTAGTGTGTGTGTGTGTGTTTTGTTTTTGCTTTCTTAGGAGCATGGCGTTTCACCCCAGGGACGCCTTTATTTTGCACCAGGAGCAAATACAGAGGCAGAATGAGGGTGACGAGGTGGACACCTCGGCGGAGCAGAAGGTGCAGATAGAGCTGCAGCGACTCACAGACGCGGAGTCCGCGGTGACGATTGCCTTCTCTCACGAGGACCACACCTTGGGAAACCCGCTGCGGCACGTGCTCATGCAAAACAGTGAGGTGACAAGCGCCGGCTACTCCATTCCCCACCCACTGGAGGCGAAAATGCTTCTTCACGTTCAGTCCACGGATTACGCTGTGGAGGCGGTCGCGGAGGGGCTTGAACGCCTGGCCGACATATGTACTCAGACGCTGCAAAGCTTTGAGGCTTGCATGCATGGGATAAGGCGCGAAAGAGCAAAGGAAGAGTATTAAGCGACGTCCGCGGAGTGTGTTGGATTCTTTGTCACGCTTTTTGTTTTGTGTGTTTCTCTGAGTGTGTTCTCTCTCCTCCTGTGGTATACGCGGCACTGTTACACCGTCTTTTTTTTTTTTGGTATTTGTTTACACTCAGGCGTCTGTGTGCATGGTGCGTTGTCTGCGTATATCGTGTGGCGGGCGTGGGGTGAGTTGCGTGCTCTCACTATCGTCCAAAGGAGGTTCGCACTAATTCCGTGTAATAATACATCCTTAATGAACCCGCACACACACACACCACGAGCTGACGGTGTTGAGTGGCTTTGCTGTGATGGGCGCTTGCCCGTCTATTTATCTACCTGTGTGTGTGTGTATGGGCGTGGCTGCGGGGAGGAGGCCCGTAAAGACATGTGTGCTTCTTCCTTCCCTGCGTGCGGTCACACAGATAACAATTACTGCCGCCAGTACCCGCTGCCGTGGCGGCGTCCGTGGCCCGAGAAGAAGAAGACGAGGAGGAAGAAGGAAAGCGAAGACGCTGCGGTGGGAGGAAATGACCGATGTCCTCGCGGAGCCCAAGACGTCGGTGATTGTGAACGAGCGAAAGCGCATCACCTCCAAATTTGTCGACGGCAGCGAGATGGTGGAGGAGTACGACGTCATCACCGACGATCTGCTGCTTCGGAAGCGCCGGGCGAAGACGGCGCTCGGGAACTTCGGCGACTGGCAGGTGGAGGTGGGAAGCGAGACGCGCGCGCGCAACCTGGAGAGGGAGTTGCTGGTCGAGGCAGGCGGCAGCCCCGAACTCGTGCGGCAGGACACCCCCGAGTACCACGTGTTTCGCATTCGCAACTTGCCCTACGCGCGGGAGGTGTTTAGTGTGGCGGTGGAGCACCGCCAGCCCGGGGACGCCGGGGAGATCGTCGTGCGCACCAGCAACAGGAAGTACTTCAAGCGACTGGCCATCCCGGAGCTGCAGCGGCGCCAGATTCCACTTGACCCCGTCCACCTTTCCTACGAGGTGCAGCACAACACATTGATTATTCGCTACAAAAAGCACCTCACGGTGTTAGCAGCGGACGCGGCGGCCAAAAAAGAAAGAGCCGCTCTGCCAGCGAGGCGCATAGATGCTGCAGAGGGCGCTGATGGCGGTGGCGGTGGCGGTGGCTGTGCCCAGCAGTGAGGACAAGAGGGGAGGCGGCGGCCGCGACGGCTGCGGAGTGGGAGAGGTGAGGGGAAACGTTTCAGTTCACCGCCTCCTGCACCTCAATGTCTCCGGTGCGTACGGCTGGACCGCGCTGCCGCTGCGGCGCAGCATCGGGTGCCTTTTCTTCCTCCTTTTCTTCCTTCTGTCTCCCTTTGCCGTGGTTCGCCGGTGGTGTCGCCTCACGCATCACATGGGGTGGGTGGGGGGGGGGGGCGAGCAGTAATTGTGTGCGTGTGCGTTTGCGTTTGCGTTTGCGTGTGGCACTTCCATTCCTCCTCCCTGCGTGTCTGCCGCCGCGCACAGCCTCCGTCCTGCCGGCGAGGCGGGGACGAAGGAGCAGCAGCGCCCGAAGCGCAAGAGACGAAAGTATGCTCAGCGGCGTGGTATCGTTTTTTGGTTTTGTTTTTGGTTTTATTGTTGTTGTGCGTCTGTGTTGCTTCCCTGTTTCCTTTTTTCTCTCTCTGGGTTGACAAATTGTAAAGGGTGCGGAAGAAAAAGGAAAATATAGAAGCAACAGGGAAGCAAGTGGGATACTCCCCGTTGCTGGTTTTCCAGGTCGTGGGTGGTGGCAGTAGGAGTCTCTTTCCGCCGTGGGAGCGGGCAGTAGTGTAGGAGGGCCCACGCTCGCAGGCAGCCCAGGGGGGTTGGGCAGAGATGCTTCGGAAAACGGCTCCGCGGCTTGTGCGGGACCCGGTTCCGACGGACACCAAGGCCTTTTACTCGTGGTTCAGCGGGCAGGCGTACCGGCAGGAGCGCGTGATACCCGGCGGCTACCCCGCAGTGCGGGTGTACCCGGTGTACGGCAAGCGCTGGTTTACGGGCCGCACGGTGATGGCGATGATCGCCGGCTTCTCGCTCTTTGGGGCATGGCTTCGACCGGAGAAGGAACGCTACAACATGGAGATGATGATTGAGTGGTCGGAGCGCCAGGCCGCGCACCTGCCGTACCAAAAGGCAGAGGTGAACCTCCGCTGCCTCATAACTAGCTACAAGCGACACCGCTACGAACAGGAAAATCTTATTGACAAGGGTTTTGTAGGCCTGACCTCGGAGTTCCGCAAGTTCTTTTACCACGACGACGTCTGGCGTCCACCGCTGCACGATGTGCTCATGCATCCGTACGCGAAATTTGGAGGCCCCTTGTTCAGCTATAACTGGACGATTGGGTACTTCTAGAAGCGGCGGGGCAGAGGAGGCCGCGCACACGCACACATGCGTATGTATGTGGTGCAGACTTCTGCATGGGTGTTCTGGGCGAGGCTGAGGAAACGGGTTTTTTTTTTGTGGGGGGGGGGGAACGGGAGATGTGGGGAACGGATTTTTTTGCTAGTGCGTGGGGCGGGGCGGGGCGGGGGAAGGCGCCTGTGTGAGTTGGGGCGTCGTATGCACGGCTGTCCCACCTGCGTGCATGCGTGGCTCGTCTGCAGACATCGGCGGGGGATGCATCCACGAGGCGCGGGCGAAAAGGCGGGGCGCGGCTCCCACGGCGTTGTCCTCCACACGCGTGTAGGCAGCAGTTGAGGGGGGGATGGCGCGGAGACGCGCGTTGCGGTCTCCCACGGCTGCCGTCCGTGTCGCGTGACGGCGGCGACAGCCATTACTTAGGTGGCAGCAAGGAACCATCAGTGAGAGCGAAGTACAACGGTGCAAGGAAGCAGCCGGAAAAAAAAAGAATACTAAGATCAGTACACAGGCACAGCGTTGCAGCATTCCACCTTTTTTTTGTTCTTTCTCTCTTGGCGCTCGCTCGCCCTCTCTCCCCTTTTTTTCTATCCCTTCTTCTGTCTGACGTGCATGCGTGACACCCTTTTACTTTTTTTTCTTCCCTCGAACCGCTGCCCATAACCGCATCGAGCATGTTCCTCGCCGGAGCGTAGAGAACAGATAGCGAGCCGGCCACGATGGAGGCGGATGCTGACCTTGGCTCTGTTGCGGCCGCGTTTCGCGGCACCGAAGAGTACGCGGCTGCGTTTGACTTGGAGGTGTGGAAGGCGCAGCAGCAGGCGCGACTGCGAAGTGAGTTGGGCGAGGAGAAGACTCGGCTGAGGAGGGAAGTGGCGGCGGAGGTGCGAAAGAAGGAGGAGGAGCGTCTGGGCGAGTTGGATGCATTCCGCCGGGAGCTGGAGCAGGTGGCGCAACGGCTGCAGCTGCGGGAGGAGACGCTGCAGAGGCGCATCTCGCAGTTTGAGGCGCGTGAGGCGGTGTTTGAGGCGCGGCGGGTGAAGGTGGCGGAGCAGCACGAGCAGCACCTGCTCGCGGTGGAGAGCCGCACCCGCCGGCAGCTGGAGGAGGCCGTGGTGCGTGAGGGCCTGCTCCAGGCACAAGCGCGGGAGCGGGAGGGCACCGTCGCCCGCCTCGAGGAGAGGCTTCGGGCGGCGGAGAACGAGCACGACACGCTGCAGCGATACCTGGCCCGCACCGTCGCCGATGACAAGGAAAAGGCGAGGGTGGCGCGGCTGGAAGAAGAGTCTGCGGCAGCCAACGCGGCGGTGGCGGCGCTGCAGTTGAAGCTAAAGGAGCGCGAGGCGGAGCTGGCGGCCGCACGGAAGGAGCGTGACCAGTTTGAGGCGGCGGCAAAGCAGTGCCGGGATCAGTTGGGCCAACTCAGCCGGCGTTACAGTGAGCTGCAGCAGCAGTGGCAGCAGCGCGAGCGGGCGCTGCTGGATGCCGAGCACCGACGGCTGGATGAAGCCAAGCGGCGGCAGCAGCTTCTCGCACTTGAGGCCGGAGGCGGGGCAGGCGGCGACGTGCACCGCTGCGACCTTCTCGGGTTTCAGGTTGCCGAAGGTGCCACCCGCGGCAGCGCCGGCGCTGACCCCACCGCCGCCTTCCTCAAGGAGCTGCAAGCGGAGGTGGCGCAGGGTCTGCGTGAGCTGCGGGGCAAGGAAAAAAAGAAGGGCAGTCGGGCGAAGGCGGGCGGCGTTGCTCCAGCTGGGCCGCGATTAGTCTACGCGGAGGTGTCGCAGCCCCACCACGGCGGGGCGCATTCGTCGCACGTGTCAGGCAGTGCGCGAGCCGCGGCTGGCGGAGACGCGGTCAACACCACGCTATCCTCGCTGACGCAGCGCGGGAGCGAGGGGCAGCCTGAGTCGGGGGAGCCGCCGCACGGCCCTCTGCAGGATCGGCCCGAAGCCGAGGGGGGGGAGGAGGAGGACGGCGTCGATGTTTCCTCGTCCTACTGTTACGCGGACGTAGAGTCTTGGATCGCGGAGCGGGAGGAGCGGCGCGGCGTGCCGCGGGAGGCCGTGGGCGACGACCTCACGCGGGGTCCGTTGCCCCCGCTCCCACCCGCCGCGGCCGCGCCGCCGTTGCCGGAGGATTTTCTCCAGGCGTCGCGGGCGGCCCTTCCACCCGCCTCTCGGGAGTCGGCCCGGGAGGAGATGATGGCGTTCGTCAAGAAGCTGCGGACGAATAAGCAGCGGCTGCTGGAGTCGGGCGTGTACACGGAGGACGACACCCTTTTGAAGGAGATGACCGACAAAATCGCACTCTACGAGGATTTTCTCCTGCGACACTTTTGACCTCTCTCGCTTCCTCCCTCCCTCCCAACCGGCCTGCCGCACCTTTGCTTCCGCGCTTTCCATAGAAGAGGTGTTGCGGGTTCGAAGCGAAGACTGCGGTGCCGTCAGCTGCTATTATTATTATTATTATTTTACTTATATATGTCTGCCCGTGTTTCACCCGTACACTTTCTCCTGGGTTGCTGCCGGTGCGTGTGTGTGTGTGTTTGCGTTTTATTTAGTGGCGTGACACCTGCGCGAAGCGGCAGCGGGAGCGAATTGTGATGGACCTTCGCGTTCCGCTCTCCTGCGTCCTTGGCGCCCCTCTCGCCCAGCGCCATGCAGTTCCGCACCGCACGCTCCGTCTGGACGCCGCCCACCCCTTCGTCCAGTACCTCGCCTCCGATGACACGCGTCTTCCGCGGCATCCCACGCTGGCGGTGGAGGCGCGGCCGCCCGAGGAGTACGAGACGTACGTCGGGGAGGATGTCTGGCGCACGCAGGCCGGCGCCGACTCCGACGACACGCACCCCGCGCCCCGCTTTGACGACGTGGTGCGGTGGGTGGCCGACGCACTGCGCGTGGTCGCCGGCGACGGCGACGGTGACGGGGTGGTGCTCTGCGGACGCAGCGTTGTCGCCGACGACTGCGGCTGGGCGGTGTTTTCGCGGACCCCCACGCTGCTATCCCCCCGCGACGTGTTCATTGCGATGCGCAATTCCCCAAAGTTCCTGCGGGACGTGCACCACCAGCTCCGGGGCGCGGCGGCGGCGGGGTCCGCGAAGGTGGAGGTCACGCTGGCAAAGGCGCTGGGCGGAAATCAGGCAAGCGAGTTCCGCGCGTTTCTCCCGTACCGGCTGCACACCTCCGCCGGAGAGCTCCGTGCCGAGGCGTGGGCGAACCACCTGTACGCAGGCATCAGTCAGCGGGCGACGGATGTCTGCTTCCCTGCGTTGATGGCGTGGGACGAGGCCACGCACGAGGAGAACTATCTCACCGTGATGCGCCACGTTGCGCACGCCAGGCTGCTGGAGAGGTCCCTTGAGAGCAACGCACGGCTGCGCACGGCGCTTCTTCGGCAGGCGGCCAAATTCTTCGCTGCGAGCGACGCCCCCAGCACGGAGTCGGTGGTCGTCCTGCTGGCGGTTGATCTGCTCTTTGAGAGTCCGTCGCTGCCGGTGTATTTACTGAGCGCCGCGGTGCGGTGCTTTCCCCACGACCTCAGGGGCCCGGCGTGCGCCTCTCCGTTCATCCTCGAGGCGGACGGCACCAATAACACGCACCCCACCGCCGAGGACGCGGACGCCGGTGGTGGCGGGAGCGACGCGAGCGACGAGGAGGAGGAGGAGGAGGAGGAGGAGGAGGTGCTGTGCGATTCCGTAAGTTTCTTCCGCCTGTTTCGCGACGTCGCCAACTGGAACCGTCACGTGGAGGTGTGGCGCCGGCGCGGCGACACGTCGGGGACGCAGCAGCAGCGGCGTTTTTTCGTCGTCGCCTCCGAGCGTGACGACCTCGCGCCGACCAAAGAGTCCTTGGCGAAGCGCGGGCTTCCGCTGGAGTTCCTGCACCCTGACCTTTTTAAGGGCGACGAAAACTTCCTGCGGGAGTGGCGCGAGAAACTGATGCAGAGCTTGACCATGGCGCAGCAGTGCCGCGGAAGCTGAGCGGGGGCCATAAACTTGCATCCATCTATGTTTCTAATATCTAATACAGTATAGCGTTAGTCTTTGCTTCCTCTCTTTCTCCTGCTGGCACGCATTGCGCCCCGCCGCTCTCATCCCAACCGCCTTCGCTGCCTGTGCTGCTGGCGATTGCTGGTGGTCTTGTCACTGTTCTACGCGTCGTTTCTCTGCTTTTCTGCGCCTCCCCACCTGCCCACCTGCCCCGCGACGACGGCAGTAGCAGCCAGTGCCCTAGCAAAGGAAGCAGGCCCCCGCGCTGCGGCTGTTGGTGCGGCTATCACTGCCTCTTGCGTTTCCCAGCGCGGGCGAGCGGAAGCGCGGGGTTTAACGTCACTGCAGGAGCCCCGTACACACGCACACACACATCCCTCGACGGCGCCTCGACCCCACTCTTGCGCTCCGTCCGTGAGGTGCAGCCCACGCGCTTTGCAAGGACACGCGAGGGCGAGGCGGGGGAACGCCTCCCTCTATCTCGCCTCCGAGCCAAGCCGAGCCAAGCCGACGGAGTAGCGCAGGGCAGGCGCTCGGGTGTTCCCCGGCCACGATGTCGATGGGAAAAACCCTTGGCGACCACCGCTACAGGATCGGCAGTCCGATCGCCAAGGGCGGGTTCAGCACGGTGTACCGCTGCGTCGACCTGAACACCGGCAGGGCTTACGCCGTGAAGGTGGTGAACCGGGCGGTGGCGGAGGCGAACAACATGCATGAGGCCGTGGTGCGTGAGATCAATGCGATGGAGTTGTTGGTGTCCTCTCGGTATTTGGTGAACCTCGTGGACAAGCTGGTGTCGGCGCGCAACTACTACCTCATCATGGACCTCGTGGAGGGGGGGACGCTGATTGATTGCATCCGCAGCGCCCGCGGCGGCCTGTCACCGCAGTGGTGTTGCCGTATCTTTAGGCAGCTGCTCAACGGGCTTAGCCTGCTCCACCGCTGCAACATAGTCCACCGTGACATCAAGCCGGAGAATTTGCTGCTGAACGCGGAGCACACACAGCTGATGGTGTCCGATTTTGGTTTCGCGTGCTACGCGCCTCCCGGGCGCCTGCTTCGTCGCGCCTGCGGGACGCCGAACTACTGCGCCCCGGAGTTGCTGCAACAGGACCCCCACTACGACGGCCGCAAGGTCGACGTGTGGGCGGCGGGTGTCACGCTGTACGTCATGCTCTTTAACAAGTACCCCTTCCAGGCCAGCGAGAACCGCCCCGAGGCGCTGGCGCAGGCAGTCAGGGCGGGAACCTACACTTTTCCGCGCCCGGTCCCCCCTAGCCTGGAGCACCTTTTCTCCGTCATGCTCCAGCCGCTGCCCGCCCGACGATGGTCGGCGAGTAGGCTGCTGCGACACGCGTGGGTGCTGGGGGTCGCGCCTATCGTGGCGAGGCTGCCCTCCCAGGCCAAGCATGCGGCAAAGGATGGGGATCTCGGCAGCGGTGGCCGCGGGATTCACTTGGAGGCGTTTCTTCTGCGGTCCCCACTTGCGCAGGCGTTGGAAGATGACGACCTGTGTGTGTCGCCGCGCCGGTCACGCTCCTGCCCGCTGCTGTTCCAGGGCCCCGGCGGGGAGGCGCTTTTTAGCCACACGAGCCTCGGGGGCGACTTGGACGCCGGCTCACTCCTACCTGCCCACGGCAGCGCGAGTAGCAACGGTCGAGAGGCGGACACCTGCCTTCGCAACAGGGGCAGGGAAAAGTGCCTGGGCGTCGTGGAAGTAGTAGGCAGAGCCGCGGGACACACCCCTTTGGACCCCAACCCCGCTTCCGGTGGCAGTGGCAGCGCGAGCAGCTTCTACAGCAAAAGCCTGCACGGCACCTCTTTTCTGCTAAGCAGCAGCACCGCGACGACGGCGTCGCTATCCACCTCTTCCAAGACATTTTATGCGGAGTCACCGCCTTCTTACAGGCGCGACCTCAAATTCACCTTGAAGGCCATCATCAATTTTTTCCTATTCTGCACGGCCCTTTTTATTGTCGGTGGGATGCGACTATTGCTGGACGTGGACTTCAACGATCTCCCGCTTCCTTTGTTTCTCCGCGAGGCGGTGGAGCGGCTACTGACACCACCCGAGGATAGGAATTTGCAGTACGTGGAGCCGCAGCGCCGCCGCCGTCGAACGCGTGGTGAGCAGCTGCGAGCACTAGCCGCCTCAGCGGGAAGGGCGATTGGCGAGTTACTTCCACGACGCCGGGCGGCGCCGACATGAGCGGCTACCGACGGTGCGGAGCGGGAGCCATTCTCTCCCTCACCCCTTCAGGGCAGAACACCGAGTGCCGAGACATTCTCGCGCCTTGGGCTGCGTTCCTCCTGCAGCTCGGTTTATAAGCGCAATTCGCGGCGGTTGCCGCCGCAATTTAACGGCCGCGGCGAGGGGGTGCGTGCGTGTGTGTTTGTGTGTTGGGTGCGGCGCCTCCCCGATGTGGTCTGCGGCTGGGCTTCTGTTGGAGGGCCCATGGCGGTTTCACGAG